CTGGGCACCTCGCGGAACCTGAGCGCCGACCGGTCGTCGGTCCTCATCAGCACCATGCCCGAGCTGAATGCCATGACCGTGCGGTACGCGGCGCCGGAGGTGATCGGCGCCTTCCAGCGGGGCGTGGCCCTGGACCGGGCGGCCTTCCTGCCGGCGGACATCTTCAGCGCGGCGGTCATGCTGCTGGAGTGCCTCACGCGCGCGGTCCCCTGGCCGGACCTGGACATGCAGGGCATCCTGGCCGCCGTGCAGTCGGGCTCCCGTCCAGACAGCGGAGCCCTCCCCACGAGCGGTGCCTTTTCCAATGCCGGTGATTTGGTGGCCGCCGCCTGGCAGGCTGACGCTGGCCGGCGGCCGCTTGCCGCGTCCTTCCGCCAGCAGTGCGCCATGCTCTTTGTGGCGGCTGGCGGTCTCCTTTCGCCATCGCCCTGAGGTTGCCCAGCTCGCCTCTCCAATAAACCCCTTCCCCACCCTCGCTTTGCAGAATGCACAATGTGTGCGCGCTCGCACACGGGATGCATCATGTCCTGCCGGCCGCCAGCCACACACGCGCGACATGCGCATGTCGCCGGGGGTGTGTCAGGCTCCCCCAGCGGCGGAGGGTCGCCCTGCGGGCCGTTCTGGAGCTCCATCTCTCGAGCACATGATCCTGCCGCATGACCGTCTCGGATTAGGGTTTCTCCCGGGGCCAGGCAGGGTGCGTTCTGGAATCGCTGTGCAGGGAGCCCGCCGCCGCCATGGAGCAACTCCCGCGCTCCGCCATTTTGTCGGGTGTTTCTTCTCCTCATGTCGGCTGGCGTCAGGTGCATGGAACGAGAGTGCCTGGGACCATGGGGGGTGGGTGGCATAGGTACGCGCGCGCGCGTGCCGGCTAGGCACCGGGACCCGCCCGCGGAGGGGCGTTGCCTGGCGCCCGGCCGAGCACGAGCACCGTGTGCCGCCGTGGGCCATCCCCCCCCCGGGCCACATGCCACAGGCCGGCCTGCTGGTGGTGCCCCTGCTGCTGGCGGACCCGAGCTCGAGGTGTCTCGTCATGGGCGGGCCTCTCGCCGGGGGGGTGCCAGGAGCCCAGCAGGCTGGAGCTGAGCCCCAGCCGCGGGCGCTGCCTGTGGGCTCCGGGGCCGCGGGCTCCGGCGGGGGGCCCGGCTCTTCGTGTGTCACTCCTGGAGCAGCAGCAGCAGCAGCAGCAGCAGCAGCAGCAGCAGCAGCAGCAGCAGCAGCAGCAGCAGCAGCAGCAGCAGCAGCAGCAGCAGCAGCAGCAGCAACAGCAGCGGGGACCTGCCACTCGCCAGGCCCCCGGTGGGGCTTGGCCATGCTGGCCGCGTGCCCGTGCCGGGCGCCGGTGCTCCCCGGTCGCCACCGGCCTACCGAGCCGGGATCGTCCGGCGGGGACCGGGCGCCGGCGCCGGCACTCCCGGGCGGACGCGGGCCCCGGTCTCGCACGGGGCAGGACCGCGGCCTGGCCTGGCCGGCAGCCCGGATGGCGTGGTCTTGTGGCAGGGCCCGCGGTGCGGTGCGGTGCGGTGCGGTGCGCTGGGGCAATGGCCGCGCCGGGCATGGGCCGACGCATGCCCTCGGCAGGCCGAGGCCATCCTTCGGGTGTGGGGCCTTCGGCGCGGGGCGCGCCCGGGCCACGCAAAGTACGCAGCCCCCTTCGGTCGGCCCGCCAGAGGGCGTGGCGTCGGGCCCCGCGCGGGCCTCAGGCGTCGCACCGCCGAGCGGCCCCCGCGCCCGCCGGTGGATGCGGCCCCCCTTGGCCGGTCCGCGGTGTGCGGTCCGGCGCTTGCCCACATGCCTCCTCGAGCCGGGGGGCACCGCCACGCCTGCCCCCACCGAGCGGCTGGTCCTGGCCGGTGTCCTTGCCGAGGGCACCGCCGGCCTGTGGCCGAGGCCCGAGCGGGAATTGGCGCCCGGGCCGGGGCCGCCTTTCGACGCGGGCGCCCCCCGGCGGCGACCGACTTTTCCCCTGGCCCAGCCCACTGGGCGGCATGCTGCCCGGGGTGGGTCTTTGCGTCCGGAGGCGCCGGCCGACCCGGGGTCTCGCCATCCCCCCTGCCGACCGGGCACCTCCGCCGTTTGTCGCCGAGGGGCCTGCCCCCCCGGGGGGGGGGGGGGGGGCCATGGGCTTCGGCCCGGCTCCGGGCCCGATCGCCGCCCCCAGGCAGACCCCCGCAAGGGGGGCAGGCGCCCCCGGCAGTGCGCCCGCCTTATTGCCGGCCGCCGGGGGCCCCCTCGCGCCTGCCTGGTACCGGCCGGCGCGCGGCGCGGACGCCCTGGTGCTGCCAACGAATGTGCCCCTGCCGGCCCCAGCCCCCGGCCCGGGCACAACGCCGGGCGGGCTCCCGCAGGGGGACCACGGCCCGTGCGCCCGCGGCCCGAGGCCACCCGCCGGCGGGCTCGGGACCCCACAGTCAAAGGGGCCGCCATTGCCCCGGCATTCGCCGCCCCCCTGGCACCATGGTTCCGGCAGCCCCTCGCCACCCACCCGCCCACCCCTCGTTCTCACACGCACACGCGCACTGCACCCGGAGGCCCCCTCCACGCGCCTCGCCCGCACCCGGCCGCGCGCACCGATGCCCGTGCTGGCGGCGCTGCTGGTGGCCCTGCTGGCCCTGCTGCCCTGGCCGGGGGCCGGCGCCAGCCCGGCCTTCGGGCCGAATGTATACCTCCACGCGGCGGCGCACCCGCTGCACCTGAGCCCCAACTCGCGGACCGTCAGCCACACCGCCCCCGGGGAGCCGTCGCAGGTGAGCGTCCGCTCGGCGGCGACGCTCATCACGCACCTGCGCCAGGTGGACCCGCTGCACCCGGTGGCCGAGGTCCGGTGGGGGTCCTTCCTGCAGGACATCGGCCTCCGGTACCACAGCAGCCCGCGGCGCGGCAACCCCGACACCCTGCCGATCATGTACCTGCCGCAGGAGGGCCCCGGCCTGAAGCCGGTCCTGGTCGAGTACAGCCCCCTGTGGGTGGCCCTCTTCGACCAGAGCACCGAGCACCCCTTCCCCCAGGCGGACTCCCGGCTGCTGGCCGGGATCGCGGTGGCCGCCAGCCAGGCCCTCCTGCTCGGGGTGGCCGGCCCGTCGGCCGGGCCGCACGATGTCTTCCTGGCCAGGCTGTCGGCCGGCGGGCTGGAGGTGCTGCCGGTGCACTTGATCGAGCCGCTGCTCGGGTCGGTGGTGCTGGCGGCCCCGGGGCCCGGGCCGACCTTCTTCCTGGCCTCCGGCACGTGTGTCATGCTCCTGCGGCACGACATGCCGGAGGCCGTGGCCATCAGCCAAATGCACATGTCGGGCCTGGTGTCCCAGATGCTGGCCTCGCGGATTGTCTCCTCGGCCGATGACTGCCCGGCATCCAGCGACCTGGTCCTGATGGAGGATGAGGCCCGGCTGGTGCTGCTGACCTGCTTCCTGACCGACAAGCAGCGGATCCTGCAGCTGGGCCTGCCGCCGGGCGCGTCGGGCCAGGGCCGGCTGCTCGGGCCCCCGGCCCGGGCCATGCACGACGCCTTCCCCCGGATCTTCTATGTCGATGCCCCCTCGGCCCCGGGGCCCGGCGCATCGGGCACCCTCTGGCAGGGGGACATCGATGCCCTGGTGGGGGTCACCTGGCGCCGGGTGGTGCCGCCGCGCAGCGTGCCGGACTTCGAGCGGCTGGACCTGCTCCGCCTCCGGACGTCGGGCACCGGCCCCGGCCGGTGGACCCTGGCGGCGGCAAATGTGGCGCTCTTCGACTCGCAGGCCTTCGGCTGCCATGCCGACCCGAGCATCGTGTGCGATGGGGATGGTATGGACAGCGGGCAGCCACGCGGCTGGGCCTGCGCCCCGGGCCAGGCCGAGTCGCCTTTCGTCTCGCCGGACCAGCTGTGTGCCGGCTGCCGCGAGGGGTTCTACCTGGATCGACCGGTCGGTGCGTCGGGCGCGCCCGCCCTCCTCTTGCCCCTGGCCCCGGCCTGCGGGATTCCCCGCCGGATTTCCCGCCAGATTCCCTGACGGCTCTCCCTCCGCTCTGCCCCGCTCTGTCCCGCTCTGTCCCGCCCTGCCCCGCCCTGTCCCGCTCCGTCCCATCACGTCCCGCTCGGTTCCGCTCTATCCCGCTCTATCCCGCTCTGTCCCGCCATGTCCCGCCATGTCCCGCCATGTCCCGCCATGTCCCGCCATGTCCCGACCTGCCCCGCCCCGCCGGACACCCAGGCGAGCCGCCCTTCGCCGACAGCCGCCACACGTGCCGGCCATGCCGGCAGGCCGACTGCCGGGTATGCAATGCACAGCACTGCCTCATGTGCGCCGAGGGCCTGCTCCTGGAGCCCAGCGGCCCCGATGGCCAAACCGCATGCGTGGCCTCCTGCTCGAGTGGCTTCACCCAGGGCACCAATGCCTGCCACCCGGTGGATGACATCCTGCCGCCGGTGTTCCTCTCGCAGCCGGCGGCGGAGCAGCTGCCCGGCCTGCCGGCCGGGGCCCAGGTCACCGGGATCGGGGAAACCCGGCTGACCCTGGACCCGGGCTCCCAGCTGCCCCGGCTGACGTCCCCCCCGGCCAGGCTGCCCCCCCTCGGCCAGGGGGTCCTGCTGTTTACCAGCACCCACGAAAGCCTGCTGCTGCCGGGCCAGCACATCGGCAACCCGTACAAGCCGGCCCTGCGGCCGATGCACCTCCTCCGGGACCCGCTCCCGCACGCGGTCACCGCCATGATCGAGGTGGGCCCCTTCTGGCATGAGGGCATGCTGCTCGCGGGCCAGGTCCTGTGCAACGCGGGCGGCACCATCAGCGAGGTGTGGCTCGAGTGCACCCCCCCGGCCGGGGAGCCGCTCTCCTGCCTTGTGCCCGGGCCGGCATCGGCGAAGGCCCTCAACACCGACCGGTGTCGGGACCTCCGCCGGCTGGACGCCCAGCATGTGGCCATCAGCCTCGACGGGGCATCGGTGATGCTGCTCCGCGCGGCGCCGGAGCTCCGACGCTTTGAGGTCACCTGGCACAGCGCCAATGCCATGGTCCTGCTGCCGGGCATGGCGGCCGGCCGGTCGAGCATCCCCGGCCCGGCCGGCGACTGGATGATCCTGGCCCTGGGCCAGGACCGGACCTCGGCCATCCTCCGCGCCATGGACCACACCGACTCGCGCGTGGACATGTACTCCGGCCGGCTGCTGGCCAATTACCGGTGGAATACCGAGGTCTTCCCGGTGCTGCTGCCCTGCGGCGGGGCCCGGGCCCCGGAGCTCTTCCTGGCCCAGACCCTGGACTACCATTGGCATGTCCTCCACCTGCCGGGGGACATGCTGCCATCCGGCCGGTCGGCCAACCTGCTGGCCACCCGGCTGGACCTCGGCCGGATCCCCTACGACCTGGGGCCCGGCCTGGCGGAGGCCCGGTTCCAGGCCCTGCCCCTGGAGGCCACCGGCCCGGAGTACCCGAGCGCCCTGCTGATGATGACGGGCCATGTGCTCGGGGTGTCGCTGCTCCGGTGCACCGGCGGCCCGGCCGGCCCGTGCACCCTGCTGCCGGCCATCTTCCGTCTGCTGCCGGAGCACCTGCGCCTGGCGCCCGGCGACCAGCTCTGGCAGCAGGCCGTGGCCCGGGCCTCCGGCCGGGACTCGCTGCACGACGACCCGGGCACCGCCATGGCCATGGTCTTCCTGTCGCCGACGGCGGGCCTGGTGGAGTTTTCCCTGGCCGGCAACTGCCTCCACGGCACGTATGGCCTGGAGTGCCGGGCCTGCGACCCGGTGTGCCTCGGCTGCTATGACTCCGGCCCGCACAGCTGCACCATGTGCCGGGCGCGCATGCCCGAGGCGCCGGACGTCTGCCTGTCGGCCTGCCCGGCGGGCCTGCACCGCGACTCCAGCAGCATGTGCGGCTGCCACTCCAGCTGCCAAGCGTGCGGCTTCCAGCCCGAGCACGGGGCCTACCTGTGCTCCCGCTGCCGGGCCGGCTTCGCCCGGGACCCGGGCCAGCCGGCCTCCGACCGGTGCCACCCCTGCCACGAGTCCTGTGCCGCATGCGTGGTCCCCGGGGACATGGGGGCCTGCACCAGCTGCCCGGCCGGGCGGTGGCTTTTTTACGGGACCTGCGGCCTGGCCTGCCCGGAAGGCACCTGGCCGGATCCCGCCTCGCGGCAGTGTGTCCCCTGCCCGGCCAATTGCCAGGCGTGCAGCCAGGACAACTCGTGTGCCGCCTGTCGGCAGGGCTTCTTCCGGCACTCCGATGCGGGCCTGTGCCAGGCGTGCCATCCATCGTGCGCCGCCTGCGACAATGCCACCAGCTGCGCCGCCTGCCGGCCGGGGCTGGTCTTCCTGGCCACCGATGCCGGGCAGGCCTCCCTGTGC